GCTCCCTGCAGTGTCAGCTTAGAGCATGTTGGTGATGTAGGGAAGCTTGGACAAGCACTCCGTGCTGCACCTGTTCTATGGAGGATGGAGCCCAACATGGACCATTTATATCCAGATCCAAGCATTGCCAGGGTTCTGGCTTATTTGGATCTGGGGTTTTGGTTTGGTCTTTTACAGCGAAAAGAGGACTGGCTACACTCTGCCAGAGTTCATGGGTGTTCAGATGTGATGTTATGGTTTGGGCCCCTCTCTAAGTGAATGTTTCATGAAAAACAATAACTCAGGGGGTGCATAATGACATTAGAAGTGAATTTCAGCTCCTAAAGTCGTGCGCTGTTCTGCACAAGAGTCTCAGCTGATGAAAATTGGTGTAGCTCTATTAACTGCTAGGCTGTTAACTGAACTAGGCTGACCTGTGTTCAGATTTAAAGATGAAATCCTACATACAATTTATATAATGGAGTCAGCTTCTGGGTACGCCTCCTAAAATCAGCCGTATACTAGGGAATTTGATACTGAAACTTAATCAAGAATCTAATTTTTTTTTATAACCACTTCAACCTAACTAGCAATCCTGCTATTTCTACAATACCAACCCACGCTTTTTGTATCCTAGAACTTTACTTCTGTTCAGATCACATTCTTCATGTTTTAAGCCTTTTTACCATGATGATACGTTATCTTCCTTAATTTTGTAAGTGAATGATCAGGGATCTGTGCATTAAACTTAATAATAAAACATTTGGAGAAAATGTGTTGGTTTCATTGGCTTCAGAACTCATTAAAAAAAACTTTCAAACTTAAGGTTGAGTATTGTCATCTTGCTGGATAAAGATTCTGTCTACATTGCAAGTTACTGTGGGGAAAGCCAGGGTCTGAATCTACAACGCACCAGGTTGCTGCACGATAAAGTCCTGCAACTTTCCCTGCGCCGTAGCAGAATTCACCTGGGACGTTACTGAGCGGCAAGGTGGTACGCTGTAGACTCTCACCTGGCTTGCCCTGCAGTAACTTGCCAAGTAGACAAGCCCCTAGGAGAGGGCAGCAGGTAAGTGGGAAAAAGCCCAGGGAAACAGCAGCAAGGGGTAGGACTGTGCAGACCTTTGTTGCTTGTTAGAGGATCCCTTGGCTGGAACCCAGTGTAGAGGATGGGCCTGGGTTCCCCTGCCAGGCACTGGGAAATGACATAGGGTGTTGCAGTGGTGAGACAGGCCAATTAACTACCCAGGCTGCACCTGAAGAAGCAGACAAGGAGCAGGCCACTGATTGGAACTGGGCTCAGCTGGGCAGGAACAGGAGGGGTCTGTATAAAGCCCAGGAGCTGTGAGCAGCAAGAGGCTGCAAGGAAGTAGGCTACAGTCACTCCCTGGCCAAAGGGAGGTGTGTTGGGACCATATGACAAGTGGTGGGGGAAGCGGTCACGTAGTTGCCCCTGATGCAGGGGCGGTTAAGAGATTGTGGTGCACTGTGAAGAACTGCATAAGATGGTCATCTCTGATACAAGGGAGTGTGGAGAGCCATAGCAAAAAAAAAAAAAAAAAAAGGGGGGAAGAGACAATGGAGCTGCAGAATGTGGAAGCCTTTTTTGCTGAGGGTACTTATAACCTCCCAGGCTGGACTCCAGAGTTACCGTCCCTGCAGAAAGGGACTGACAAATGGCAGGGATGGATCCAGACCCTGATGAGGCAAGTGCTGGAGAACCAACAGAGACAGTGGGAGGCACATTGGTACCTGCAAAACTCTTTGACTCGGCTAGCTGAACAGCAGCTGTATTTATTAGTTTCTTTCTGCAGGAGCTTACATAGAGACCGAGGGGAGCGAGATAGGAAGGGAGGTACCAGGAGCAGGAGGCCTGGTCAAAGCAATGTTATGCCTGCAGAAAAAGGGAATACCTAAAAAGAGAGTACCCCTACCAGGATAGGGACCAAGAAGCCTCACCCAGAAGGCAGGAAAACCAGAAAGCCAAAAAAGTCCAACATGGGGGGAGAACAGGAAGGGGAGGGGCCTGTTTTGCCTGTGGTCAGAAGGGGATGCCCATTTGTGAGTTGTAAGGGCAAGGCTAGCCCAAGAAAAGGCCAAATGGCCTACTCCCAAGACAAGGCAAAGGGTTTGTTTTAGGTGCCATAAGGTCGGCCACATAAAGAGGCACTTAAGAAAGGGCGGTGTAGCAAAGGGAAAGGCAGGGACCCCAGTGAAATAGGAAAGAAGGAGGTGGTGTCTGGAGACCAGCATATGCCAGAGACTGTCAGGATAGACATGGCAGCAATGGACCTTGCAGGTGGTTATCCCACACACCCAGCAGGGGGTAGTAAGGAGATAACAGATAAGATGATTGGGAGGGAGAGGGCCCAGATAGACATAGGAACTAACACGGAAGTGGAGCAAGCTACGGTGAGAACTCAGACCTTGAGTGAAAGGGTGGTGGGGGATCTTGTGGGGCAAGTGAAGGTGCTCCAGGGTTAGCTAATAGCAGCAGAGCCAGACCTGCAAATAGCTAAAAGAGACCTGGAGTTTCAAAAGGAAAAGTTTAGGGATGTCATGGAGGACCAGCATAATTTGTGTCCCCTGGTGGAGGAAACAGAACAAGAGAGGGATGACCTGTGGGCACAGCTCAGGCAGATGCAGGGCAGGAGGCATCCACACCCCTGAGAGGGAGGGTATGTGATGGGGTGTCCACCCCACACAGGACTGGAAGTGTTAAAGTGGTGAGACAGGCCAATTAACTGCTCAGGCTGCACCTGAAGAAGAAGACAAGGAGCAGGCCACTGATTGGAAATGCGCTTAGCTGGGCAGGAACAGGAGGGGCCTGTAGAAAGCCAGGAGCTGTGAGCAGCAAGAGGCCGTAAGGAAGTGAACTACAGTTACTCTGGGAGGAGGGAGTTTGGGTTGGCAAACCCAGAAAGAGAGGGCAGCAGGTAAGTGGGAAAAAGCCCAGGGGAACAGCAGCAAGGGGTAGGACTGTGCAGACCGTGTTGCTTGTTAGAGGATCCCTGGGCTGGAACCCAGTGTAGAGGGTTGGCCTGGGTTCCCCTGCCAGGCACTGGGAAATGACATAGGGTGTTGCAGATACCAGCTGGACAGCTGGTCTGGAAGGACTTTGATTTCCCTGGAAGGGGAGGGCCTTAGTGACTTGGCCGGAGGACCAAACCATGAACAGAAGCTGCAGGAGTGAAAGGGGCCTCAGGGTGAAAAAAACAACACACAGACACCCCCCAGAGGAGCGCAGTGCCTAGCAAGAGCTAATCCCCAGAGCTGCCAGCAGGCGACACCCCAGACAGTAAGTGGACCCCATAACACTCGGTGTGATGGAGAATTGAATATCCCTTGGTAATCTGTTCCAATGGCTAATTATCCTCACGGCTTAAAAAATGTGCATCTTAATTCCAGTTTGAACTTTGCTTACTTCAGCTTCCAGCCACTGGATTTTGTTATGATGGATTAAAGAGCCACTCATTAGGAATGGGGATCTTCCTGGAGCGGCTGGTGTTACTAACGACTCAAAGTGCTTGGGAGATTTGTAAAACTTAGTTCAATTTAGAAATATTTTTCCTGTAGTTTACAATGCTCTTTTCCACCCACAAGGCTGTGATGTTTAAAAGCATATTTCTAGTTGAGGGTACCTTGCCCTATGTATTAGGGATATATATATAAGTACTCTCCATCATTCAGCTGGCCCAAGCTGTGTATAATGGTTATATGCCGTTACTTTTTTTTCTTTAATTGAAATTTTTCTCACCCATCTCCCGTCTTTTTTCTGCTGTCTCCATTAAAGGATCACAAACCCAACTGTGTTTGAATCAAACATTCGAATCCATGATGCTCCAGTGGGTTAAAAATTAGATACACCAGGTTGACCTATGCCAGGTTGTAATGGAGGAGGGGAAAATAGTAACCTCATAATTCCATATTATTTATTAATTAATTGTGTTGTGGTAGTGGCCAGAGGTCCTGGTCACGATCAAGCCTCCTTGTGTTAGGTGCTGTACGAACACATAGGAACACACAATCCTTGCTCCAAGGATTTTACAATTAAAAGTGCTTGATCCCAAGCTCCTTCAAGCCAACAGTGAGTTTGGACCTCCAGGGGTTTCCTAGAGAGGTCTCCCATGATGAGCTGTAGGCAGAACCAGTGAGACTTGGCCTTGTGGTGCCAGAAGGGCCGGCAGCAGGTGGAGGCCAATCAGGGCCCAGCAGCCCAGATAAAAAAGGGCTGGGTGCTTCCACTAGAGTCCAGTTCTGGGTGAAGACAGGACAGGGAAGTCTCTCCCTACCCTAACTCAAGTAATCTGGCCTGGACAGGAATCTAATCTTGACAGTATTTGCCTTGGGTCTCTGAAGGACTAACATTTATGTTACAGGCTTTAACACCCAGTGGCTAGTTTGAGTTCAGTATTAACTTGTTTTCTGTAACGCCTGTGCTGAGCCGGCTCCATGAGGTACCTGGTTCAGGTGACTCCTGGACAAGCGCTTTGTGCAATGGAGGCTTTAGTGTCTTGATTGTAGTCAATTAGGGTGCGTGTCGTAAAGGTGATGATCACCACTGCCATGGAGAGAATTCTGCTTTCTAAAGCAAGCTCGTCTCCTGACTATGGTGGTAGGAGGGAGTTCTTCTAGCCTGGATGGCCTGGGGTACTATGAGACATGGCAATCAGATGCTTCACTTGGAAAATATGTGGAAGCTTGTTCTTAAAGGCCCCATCCTCCTCTGCCTTGGCCCTATGACTTGTGTTTTTTTTCCCCCTGGTGCATGGCTAGCTTGAGGGGAGGAGGGTGGGAATTCACAGCCCTACAACATTTAAGTTATAACTAAGACATGCTCCATTTCCTATCTGGCTAAGTAACTATATGGCCCTCATCACTGTAGTATCTGAGCAACTCACAATCATGGATTTAATCTTCACAACCCTTCTGTCAGCTAAGGAGGTATCCCCAGCATTTACAGATGAAGAACTGAGACAGAGCAGGTTAAGGGATTTGCCCAAGGTCACACAGGAAGTTGGTAGCTGAGCCAGGAACTGAAGCCAGGTCTTTGAGTCCCACGCTGGCCTTAACCACTAAACTTTCCTTCCTGAACAACTCCAAGTTGAGAAAGGGTGGGGGGGGGAAGTAGTTACATGATGGTTTTTAGTGTGTATTGAGGGCGCTGTATATCTGGATGAGTTTGTAGGGACGTGTGCATGTGAAAAATCTTGACCAAGATTTTAAGAAGTGGCTAGTGATTTTTGGGGTACTTCTTTTTTTTTTTTTTTTTGAGGATGCCCAGCTCAAGACTCCTAGAAGGTGAGAGTTCAGCACATTCAGAAGGGCAGACTTCTCCTAGGTGTCTCAGTTTGGACACCCAAACTCATGGCTCATTTAAAATCTTGGCTTTGCATTTGAATACAGGCTTGGGTTCTGCAAGGTCTTTAAGCACACATGGAACTTTTAGCATCTAAATAGGCCCCTTGAGTTTCAAGGGATTACTTGTGATTTAGTTATGCACGTGCTTTAGTACCTTGCTGAAGGGGGGCCGTAATGAACTCAATAATTGGACAATACGTCGTTTGGATATGTTTAGAGCTTCAAAAGAGATGTTCCATAATGCTGTTGTCTCAAATGAAACTTTGGCTTTTATCCTGAAATATAATAACCATCCATTGACCCTCACATCTGCACTTTCTGTTCCATTTATTCCTGTACTGAAAGCAATTATGTAAGGCTTCGGATCAGTCACCGCCACTGGGACTTCATTTACAGACAGGACCAGTTTATATAAGGAGCAAATTCACAATGAATTAGAACAGATCACTGCTGCTGCTTCTGATCCCTTCCTATAATCGCCCTGTTTCCTCTTCCTGTTAATGGGAAGTTCCTGGAACGGTGGAATTAAGATGCGGGGGGAAAAGTCCCACATTAAAACTGCCTGACCAGCTCAGCAAGCGAAAATCCTGCAACCACTGTGCTGAAACAGAAACAAGTGTGCCTCTTAATCTAGCTTAGCAAAGGCACAGGAGGGCGCAGTTGTTCACGTTCCCATAGGAGGAAGCTGTCAATAATTTGTCGCACCTGCAGGACATTGACTTCAGTTACAGCACTACCTTGAGCTCTCAAGGTGATGTAAATGCCATCATAGGGTTGTTCAGGGATGTACACCGAATAAGTGGAATATGACGCTCTCTAAACTACAGCAGTAAACGTAAGCATTTAAAAAGCAAATCAAAGGATTATGACGTGTTGGTGTAGAATGGTGGTTGACACACACACACACACACACACACACACACACACACACCCAAGCTGTGACTAAAGCCTTAAGATAGGGAGACGAGAAGGGATTGTAGAGAGAGACCCGCCGCCTCCTCAGGGGCATGGAGAAAGGATTGGGTTCAGGCTGACCTCCATGTTGGTTCTCTCAGGACAGGGAATACGCCGGAGCTCAGTGGCCTACTCCCACGTTTTCCCTTTCTTCATGCCTGTCTGACTCAGCTGATGCTCAGGTGTTGCTGAGAATGGAATTTGGATTCCGAGGGAGAACTTTGTTGCCTGAAAGTGAGTTCTGCAGGGGGAAAAATGACCCTGCCCTGCCTCAAAAGTGACTGATAACCTCCATAGAATAAATATGGGGGGAAGAGGGTCTCTTTAAAAAAGACTGAGTGGACAACTTGTGTCCTGCTGGGTGAAGCATTCTGAATTTATACTGATGGTCATGTGTGTATTTGGTAACCAGCTGGACCCAATACACCTCTACCCCGATATAAATCTGTCCTCGGGAGCCAAAAAATCTTACTGTGTTATAGGTGAAACCGCGTTATATCAAACTTGCTATGATCCACCGGAGTGCGCAGCCCCCCCGCCCCTCCGGAGCACTGCTTTACCGCGTTATATCTGAATTCGTGTTATATCGGGGTAGAGGTGTACTTGCAATTGTTACTCCCTGTTTGCCCTCTGTCTGATATGCTGTGCCTGTACTGTCGGTCTTTAATCTCTCGGCAGTCCCATGCTTTCTGACCTAGTAATTAAATGTCTCCTGCTGTAGTGTACATGCTAAATGCATAGTTGCTGACTCTCACAATATTTGGTGTGTTTTCATAAAGTCCCAGCTCCTTGAGGCAAGCAGTAACATGAAAATCTCACTTTAAGCTTTTTTTTTTTTTTTTTTTTTTTAGTTTATAGCTCTCATGGGTTTGGAGAAAGCTTGGAAATGGGACCCGAAGGTACCCAAGAGGGTTAAAAACCAGAAGGCAAATAAGATTTTTTTTTAAAGAACTGTGTTATAGCTTTTTTAGAAGACAGGCTCATGATTTTGGGGCCTGGCACATGATATTTTAAAAAACGTTTGGGGTTCACAATACCATGAATGTTCTAACGGTGAGCCAAGTATGTATGTCATGTAGGCGAGCATTCTGCGTGGGTGATGGGGTTCCCTAAACTCGTCGGGGCCCAATTCTGCTCCCGTTGAAGTCCAGTGGGTCATCCGCACAGATCTCTTTGCAAGCTTGAGTCAAGAGTATGTTACACACTCAAATCTAGTCCACAAGCACACAATGTTCTCACTGTAAAGGCATCATTTATTATAACACGGTGTCGGTCAAATGGGAATACAGAATTCAAAACATACAAAGTGCTTATGTATTTTTGAGCCTCGTTGACACGTGCTCTGTAACAGCAGCAAGACATATCTGAGTGCCATCCTATGAAGCAGGATTTGCGACTGCATCTTCTTAGTTTGCAGGCAACAAATATTCCAACTTTAGAATGATTATATTACTTCGTGTGAAGTTTGCTACAAATGGAAATCATCAGCATGACCAGCATTTAAAAGCAACACAACCATCAAGTTAAAGGGGTATTATATACCCTAAAACAAATCCGTATAAATACATATACATATAAACAATCCATTGCACAAAAATATTGTTCTAAATCACTTATAAAAATCTGAATTTCCCTTGTGAGCAGATCTTATTCTGTATTTAAATAAAAACTACAGGCATTTACCCTCTCCTAACACACATTAAAAAATCAGTTGCACCTGACCTATTATCAAGGTTATAATAAAATAGATATTAAAAAGAAGTCACAAATAAATAGTAATAAAGGCTTAATTACATTAAAAAGTCGCCTTTTCTTTAAGGCTAAGCTTTTAAGGGTCAAATTCTGCCAGCAAATGTATGCGCGTGCCTTGACATGCATTGGAAGGAGAATTTGACCCTTTGCGGTTTGAAAATGATCACACATGTTGGCTAAAACATTAACTGTTGAGTGGTTCTTGGGCTGGTGGGTTTCAAAGTGCTTGCATTTCTCTTGCCCTCATGTGGAACCATAGCCCCAAATATGTCTTCATGGTATCGCTTTTGGCTCTGTAAAAATCAGAGAGAACAAAAACATCAGTCTGGCTTCCCATTATTTAACAAACTGGCGGCTCATTTTTCAGTTCCTTTAGGTTTGTTCTAGTGATGGTGAACTTTTGGTGGTAGGAATACTTTGCTTTGAAGGATGTATTCCTAAGAGCTCTAGGATAAGCTGAACTTTGTAGCTCTTGTCACTTGGCACCATTCCAAAAACACAAGGCAGCCAGCCAGGTCTAGTATCTATGTGCAGTGTTCCTTCCCTTCTCAAATTCACTGCCCGTCCTCACTGGGTGAACAGAGCCTGAAAATGTTGAGGTTCAAGTCATGTTGCAAAGCCGATCATAGCTATTTGTGGGCAAATCCTGCCCCTTCGAATGTCCGGGTCAAAGTGGGGCAGGATATTGCGAATCAGTTTAGGGGTAGAATACTGTAATCAGTACATGCACCCTGAGCATTCGCAACAGGTGCATTATATAAATGGAAATAAATCACCCGGCCTTGCATTCTAATTCAGAATGTCTGACAAATGTACACGCTTACATTTATTGTTTCCTATAATTGTTGCCCTGTCCATTGCATCTCGATCACTACACTGAAGTCTGGTTTAACTCACGCAGGGACTCTTTAGCTTGACCCTTGACTACAGTGAGCACGTGGGCATGCACATCTGGCTTCTAAACCTACCTTCAGCTGGAAGATATAGTCTTCAGCCTGTTCCTCTGTCAGCTTCAGTTTCTTTGTGAACATCTCCTTCAAGGTCTGGGCGACGTCCCTGGCCATGCGCACGTCCCCGCAGACATACAAATGACCTTCATTTTCATGTAAGACTTGGTGCACTTCTGCCTCCAGCTTGCTTTGAAGAATGTCTTGAACGTAGACCTTAAGAGGAGAAGGGGGGAGAAGTCAAATAAAGTCCACTTAATGCTATCTGAGATCATGGGTTATCTGGATTTGGAGCAGACTTACGCAACCCCATAATTTCACATTAAGGCTCTGACTCCCTCAGTCCAGTCAAACTATAGTCTGTCCAAGAGCAGAGAGGAGAAATGGCGTTAAGCCACCTTTTATACTACCCTGATCTTATGGCTGGGCCAGTCCCTTACATAAGTTAGAGCAGCCTTCGGGCTGCTCTAATTTACACCCAGCTGTCCACAGCCCCAATAAACCATTCAGATAGTTGGGGATTGTCAGGGCATAGGGACATGCCAGGCACACACTCCTATAGCCACAGTTGGAGAGAGGGTGGCTTAGGTGTCACAGGTTATTGCCATCCAAGGATTCTCCTCAGGAGGGGGAATTCCCAGAGCGCCTGCTCTGCTGGCTTTCTGGCTGCACCATTTCAGTGACAATGGCAAAGTGATTAGAGCTGGGGCCAACATCTGCCCCAAGAGTTACAATGTGCAGGTCTGAACTTGTCCTGGGCGTTTAGGGCTGGGGTTTTGACTGAGTTCTAGCTTCACAGACAATTTTCCATCTGAAGCTTGAATTTGGATACTCCTGTTATCTTCCTTCTACAGGGCAATAATGTAAAGCTTAGATAGATACAGCTTTGCCCTTGACTTCAGTAGGAGCGGACTGGCTCCACTCCTTTGAAGAAAATGGCATTCTTCACTCAGGGACGACACATAAAAACACAACATTGAACCCTTTCAAAGGAGAACTTTAAACAGTGCTCAAGCCTTAGCGTGGGGGAGGAGGGGATCTGTATCCCCCTTTCTAGAGGGCAGAGGAATGAAGCTTACTTTAGCTTGGCCGGGTTGCCGTGAGTAGGCTGTGTAGACCTCTTTCAGCACTCCTTTTCTTTTCATTTCTTGAGTTTCTTCTCTGTAGAGATGATCCATGTCTGGCTGCCGGCAGCCAAACAACAATGTCATGCCGCTGCCTTTAATTCCTGAAACCAACATTGGAAAGTTGTTTTAGTCTTTTAATGTTAGCCCAATTATCTGCAATTACAGTGGCAACAGAGGGCCCCGTTGTCTCAGCAGCTAGTCATGCAATGCAAGGACAGGAGGCTATTTTCCAACCATGTGTGTGTAAGAGAGAGAGAGAGCGAGCGAGCGAGGTTCTGCTTTAAGTACACGCAGCATAATTTAACTCTACAAAATGTCACTGGCAGAAGCTCAACTCATTTTATACGAACAGGCAGGGACACCGCAAAATTCCAGTTGCTTGTTGAAGTGGGTTGTAAGATCACAAAGAACCTTCTCTCTCCGCGACGAGCCCCTGTGTAAGAGGCAGAGACGTCCGTGGTCTGCTACCTGCTAGTGCAACTGAAGGTATCAGGCATCCCAAAGAGGGTGGGAAGGAGGCAGGGCTATTGAATCTCGTGTGTGTGTGTGTGTGTGTGTGTGTGTGTGTGTGTGTGTGTGTGTG